ACTGTCCAGATCTGGATTCCCGATGACAGAGTAACTTGTCCTTGATGATCCTGACCATTGTAGTGACCACCATTAGAAAAAGGACCATAGCGTCCACTAGCACCAAGATTTGTAAACTTTGCTTTGAAATCTAAAACAAATATCATGATTAAACTGCAATGTTTGTGTAAGAAGGCAGCACACCACAGTACAATGCAATGTAGTCTGACTTTTATTTCTGCGCTCGAATTGCAAGTGATCTCATATTTATATCGTCTTATACGACGTTCGTCTTTTTAGTCATTGAGATTTTGCTAGTCGCATTGCGCGACATTTGCAACGAGTGTAAAACGTAAGGTAAATTTTCAGAATATGAAAGAATATGAAAGAATATGAAAGACATGAGCACAGGGATCTAGGCTTTTCTTTATGTTCGAGATATATTGTAACAACTTTGAATGGAGATATTGTAAGATTCGGCTTTAGTATTAATGAATATTTGAAGACTCCTCATTTTCCATATCCATGTTCTTTTGAACATGCTAAATTAGAAAAAATTGACTGAAGCTTGAAACAATAGCGATTCAGGCAAACGAAGTATATGATTTACGGTCTTGGAATACATTATGTTCATGAGTTTTAAACGTTTTAGTGTTTACGCGTATCTGACCATATTTCGGGAAGCAATGCCCTGGTAGCATTTATCGAGTGGTTTTTGATTCCTCAATGACTAAAGATCCATATTTCACTGACCAAGTCAAGGGCGCGCCCTATGATGACGAGTATTTCTCGGTTTTTGAAGCCTTAAACATTGTAAACAAGGAAGATTTGTTGGATGTTCGTTAGTTCATTTAATTAGTCAGTTGCTGCGTGTCGATACAATACGTTTTACTGGCGTACACAACAGGAAATTCCAAAAATATGCAAAAAATAGCAATGTGAGTGTAAGTGACTAGTTAGCAAGCTATCCAATCTTCATCTTTTTGTGTTCACGTCATTTTATACTCAAAAATCTTATGAATTAGAATTAGAATTAATACGTGAATGAAAACAGCTAGTTTTTAATTACCTTTAGTTTTCTTGATCTCGCGCAACATTTTGATGATAGCCGCCAAAAAACTTCGATCATTTTTACTGACAGAGAGACGCAGAACTATGGATTTGGACTGGCGAGTGGCGGTTTGGCCTTCATGCACAAGCATCACCAGAACAAAGATAATAAGAGATAACACTTTCATTTCACTCATTGTTAGATTCGCTCGCTCAGTTTTGATACGAARTTCGATAAGAATGACGCACACTGTAGTTAGAGACTGTGTCTCATGCTGTATTTTTCTGAACATGTATTTCTAACATGTTATCCGGCTTATTATAATAAATGTTCAGTTATATTATTCTTATTGTTATGTTTATATAGCCGATTCAGACAAAATTAGAAAAAAACAAACTGACAAAACTGCCAAAACATCGAATCAAATGATTGGATGTCTACGACATACATAAAACCAAAAGTGGCGTAAGGAATACGGGCATAATAAATATTCAATGTTACCATCATTATGCTTACATTCAYTGCTAGGATGTCATCATAGTCTCTAACTATGATGTCATATGCCACTCCAGTCTTAGTCTTATCTCATATGTATACTATAGAATGTTGTAAAAAATCCAATCCCGCCATAATATTCAATCTTTTTAGATTTAAAAACTGCACTATAGTGATCCCTGAATAACTTCATGTTTTTTTTTCTGTTTTGATTTCATCTGCTCGCAGTAGTCGAGCTGTCTTGAGCTTTCTTGTACCATTACTATGACAACGCTTTATTTTCATTTAACTTTTGCATGTCTATTGATATCACAAAACAGGTATTTGTGGATAATTCCCTCTGCAAAAGTAAGCCTCTCTAATRAAAAAGCACTTTTAAAGTTAACTCTGCAAAAGTAAGCCTCTCTAATAAAAAAGCACTTTTAAAGTTAAAAGTAAAAAAATATTTTGCTGATATATTTTATTTCAGATTATAATTATTTTTATAATTTGTGATTTATATGTATTGCGCAAATCGACTACAGGCAGCCCAAGCTCAATACTTGTCGATTTACTATAGAATATATGTGATTTTATTAAACCTACGATTCTTACATCAAATGATCATAAAACCCTTGAAACATTCATGCTGTGTTTTTGAAATACTTCCGTACCATCTGGCTTTCGTTGAGTTTAAGATTTAAGAATTAACTTTTCGCCACCATGAAGTAAGAGGGGAGGATCGCTTGAGGGCTTTCCACAGACCTCCAAACGGCTTCAATTCATGCAATTCACAATGATTTCCCTTATTGTTTAAAAATTGATGCCTGAATAATTAGCTGTTTATTAGAATATATTAGGCAAACAGGAAGTCATGACTAACAAGTTAACAGCTGAAAATAATTTTTAAATGTCATTCAATAATAGCTATATATAGTTAAAAGTGTTTGATATGATAAATATTGTAATAAAAAAATTTAGCCACAAATCTATTTTATTTTCTTTATTYTCTTCATTTTCTACTTCATTCATTTCTCGTGCTGCTTAGGCCCCGTCCACACTAAAGCGTTTTCGTTTGAAAACGAAATGATAACTATGCGTTTCGCCCTGCTGCCCACACTTTTTATTCCCGATATTCCAATTTTCTTTAGGCTTGCATCAAACGACAAATCCTACTTTTGCGGATTCAATGCGAAATTTTCCACTGGTCCTTTTTTTCTTTATAGTAATTAGTTCCTTCCAGGGACTCGAGGATACTTATCCGAGGGGAGTTGAGAGTCCAGTGAGTATAATTAAAACCTTTGACATGAAATGGGGGAGCCATTCCATGTATTATTGATTAAAATCAATAAAGAAGAAGGTGGTTAACATTTAACTTTATTCCAAAACTGATTGCAAAATTCGGAAAAATATGCCAAACACTCTCCAAACCCATTGTCCCAGACTCGTACCCAGTCGTTACTCTTTTTTTTTCCTGTCGCGCGCAAAGTCCCTCGATGCAACCATGATGCAACTCGACTCCGCGTAATGCGAGCGAGAGAAACGACTGGGGTACAAGTTTACCTGTGTCCCCATGCGCTAGTGCTCGAGTGATCATCTCAGTGAAAGATTAATGTACATGTAAATCCATTTATATCCGTTTTTGGATATCTTATAAATATTTCTAAAAAAATTGAAGAGCTTGTCCAGAGGTATTGATAAGTCAGAAACAAATCAGTAGATCTCCTATTTTTTAAAAATAACCATAAAACACTCGAATGTTGTCAGGATTACTCAAACGTGTTTATTTATAATCCATTTGCTTACAATTTAAACTGTCAACAGGAATTAAAATTACCAAAATCAAATTAACATTAAAATCAATAATTGTGACAATTAGTATACATTCTGAAAGTTAAATTTTAAGTTAAGTTTCGTGTTCAGACTGCAGAAATGAGAACATAGCCATGACCGTGGCTGTTGTAGCAGCATGTATTGCTTTGATCTGATCCACTATTAAACGAACCCCCACCTCCTCCAGAAGAATCACCACTAGCCCCTCCTGAATATCCCCCACCACCACCCGCTCCACCACCCCCAGATCCATAAGCACCTCCTCCAAAGCCACCAATGCCATAATATTTTGACCGCTCCCCCCTCAATTATCCATTATGTTTATAAAATTTTCCAATCTGAAAATTTATATTCAAATATTTCTGAATAAGAAAATCTAGAACTGATGCATATGCCATCATATCCTTTAAAAGAATTTTGAAAATTTAACTTTTATTTTACACTTAAATGCATGTCGCAACATGAGACTAACAAAATGAAAAAGACTGAAAAAAACAAACTTGTAATTAGAGGGCATGGTTAACTCTAAGTTATAGAAGTAAAAGTTTGTATTGCACTGCACTGTGGTGTCTTTGATTTGTGGTCTATCTCTATTTGTAAGTTAGCTTCTATAATCACGATTTTGTTTTAGGTTCAAAAAAGCAAAGTTTACAAATCTCGGTGCCAATGGACGCCATGGTCCTTCAATTGGCGGGTATAGCCCTTTTCTCTTCACTCTGGAAGGAGTCGAAATCTAACCCTCCCAAAACACACTAAAACAGCATCAAAATCGAAAATAACCCCTCCAAAAATGTTCATAAACTATTGAACAACCTTTATTGAAGTTTTTTGATATTTCAAGAATGAAATGATACGGTTTAAAAACGATATTTTGACTACATGTGAAAAGCCGTTAAGTTTGTCGCCACAGGTAGCCCATCTCCCGTAACATTCTCAGAGACTGGGAAGCCTGTGTTTATACTCGCAAGGAGTCATGGGGTGGGGTATAAAAGGTAGAGCCACGTGCGCTGGGAGTGAAGTTCAAGTTCCGAACTTTTGGACCGCACTTTCAGCTGTTGAACTGATTGGGACAACCTACACATGTCCTAGAAACGGACCGTCCTTGTTAAGTATTGAAATTAGGCAGGGAATTCTGTAAGAGACTCTGAAAACTCAGCGAAAGCCCACAACAAAGAAATMAGTGAACACAAGTTGGTGTATCGAGCCAAATAGTCTGAATAGTGCATTTTCCTTGGCGAAATATAAACCGATACTCCGTAACTGAGTGAAGCCTCAACGTGGCTGTCTGATTCTGAGTTGTATAGCCAAATTTTCTAATTTGATAAGGGATTCTCTCTCTTCTGGGTAAAAGAAAACAATGCTATTCACGTAGCATTGACGTAGGAGTATTCTATATGAAACCTGTGCAAAAAGTATTTATTGCCGTTAAATTGCTCTGACAACCTTTTTTCAATGGCTTTTCTACTTGTGCTGCAGCCCTCTAATTTTCTCTTATGATCTTACGCCTGATCTCCACCCGCATCGYCAAACCGACACCTTTTACTGCACTTTTTYCYCCATGTTCCCTTTTACGCTTATTTTGCAATAAGAAGCATTTGCAATAAGAAGCTAGTATATATACCTTTCTCGCAGTGMTCTCCGTCAAATCCYTCACGGCACTCGCAGTGATAATTTTGCCTGTTCTCTTGGAATATGCATGTACCATTATTAAGACAGGGTTTTTCTTGACATGGATTCTAACGACAAATGATAAATATGAWACACACGTTAACGCAATGTAATGCGAGATTGCACTGGTAGAGGAATTCATTCTGAAGCCGAGTTCCTTCCAGTTTCACAACGGACAATCGAAGGTTATGGATGGAAACGATACCCGGAAGAACCAAAATCTGGGTTGCGCAATCTATGCATACTGATGGACCAAGAGAAGTTTTGAACCAATAAAAGCAAAGACTCTCGTCATTTCCAAGGTGAGTCTTCGGTTTTCCATTGGAAAACTGAGAAGGAACTGGGTACGAGAATAGAAAAACAGCAGGGACGTTTGCTGACGCTGACCGCACGAATATCGCGGGCAACGCATGAAAGTTGACGTTTTTCATAAAAAGGCGGGAATGAAAGACTCTTGAAAATGCCTCCTCACTTTTTGTTCAAGATCAAAAGATATTTGAGAAAATTCTATCAAGAATAGAGAAAGAATGGGGTCTTTTGTTTACAACGTGCTTGTTTTTAAGCGAAAATAATGTCTTATTTGGAAATGAGAAGCGAACTTCCACACAGGACACGAACGGCTGAACATTTTATGAAACCACACCATATCATGAAAAGTCAAATTTCTCAACAGTGAGATCAAAACAAACATCCCACGCTGGGAAATTTCACAGTCAAATGTGGCCAAGTTGAGTCCATAATATGTTGGTCAGCTGTAACACCCCACACTTAGCATAATACAACAATGAAACTATGAAACAATTAAAGTGTTTTTTTATAAACGTTTGGAACGAAAAAGTAATCATAAAGAGAAAGAGTAAAAGCCTTGAATTNAAAACTTGTGCCAATCACTAAAAGTGCGTTTTGCACTAATATTGCGTTCTTGGCAATAAATCCGGACATTCCGGACGATTCTATTACTCCCGTTTCGAATTCATAGCGAAAAACTGCTGCTTTATTTGACAACAGATTCTCTTGCGCAAAGTCCTGACTAAACACAAAAATGAGCACGGGAATATTTGTTATGACAATAGCCTTGAAAATTTGAAATTTTCCCGAGACTATAACCATGTATTCCCATAAGACCTATTTATGAGCCTTCTGGGAATATAGGGTCAGCCTCAACTCGGGGAAAATTATGTAAATTGTTAGCTACTAACGACATTTTCTCGTGCTTTCTTTTCAGTTTGGTAAGATAAGTTGCGTAAGAGAATCTGCTGTCGAATAAAACAGCGGTTATTCGCTTTGAATTCGAAAATAGAGTATTAGTACAACTGCATTTTTAGTATTGTGTAAAATCCATGGTATCACATCAACTATGGCATCATACAATATACAATAATAAAATAACAATAACCAATATATCATTAATAGAAATTGATAGCTATAAAAATGAAAGCTCCTCTAAAGGCTCATTTACACGGCACGATTGTCTCGTGCGATTTGTAGAATACGACTTGAATAGCGCATTGAAAATGCCCCTACGACTTGTCTACAACAGTCGTACGCAACCTACGACTTGTAGTAGGAAAATCGCATACTACAAAAACAATCGTATCGTGTAAATTAGCCTTAAGCTGTGCGTGCCGTGTAACCATGAAATAACAGTAAAATGTGTAGCCAGGGGTTCAAATCTGGTCCTAGGGAGCTTGGGCTGTAGCAACACAGATGATACAAGGGCTGTAGCAACACAGATGATACAAACCTCGAGCTCACCAAACGATGACAGCAAGCCCGCGCCATATGCTTTTACTTCAGACCCCTCTTTGCAGAGTCCAAACTCCACGGTAAACATGTAAAGCTGAAAAAAAGCAAATGAACCATTACTCAATATTTCAATTAAACTCTTGCATTGGGATGGATTGATAAACTCGACACGAAGCACTCGCGGTCCCTGAGACAATAATATGCGATTTTGCGTTTAACCCGAGATATTTGAAATCAAGCTGATTGTAAAGATTGAAGAAGAACGGTGCTGAAAGAAAGGGACAACGCAGGGTGGAAGACTTGGAATGAAGCCAAAATGACAGCAAGGGACAGAGATGGATGGAAAGAGGGGGTGAAGGCCTTATGCGCCTACTGGCGCGAAGAGTTGAGTTGTAAAGAACCATCACCACTAAACGCAAATATGAGACATTTAAAGTAATCGAAAAACTACTAAATTGTACATTGATAAGGTGAAATGATCCCTGAGCGTTCAATGCATTTGTGTTTTTCATATATGGAAAAGAGGTGACTTCAAATATCCATTCGCAATCCGTTCCCAAGGCAGGGGCTCGGAGCGTTTTTGGCCCTGGGGGGGCTAAGAAGATTAATGAATATTGTGGTCAAGAATTCCTTTTTTATTCATCTTTGGAAAATACAACGATMGAGCTTTTATCATAATAGGATGCCGCTGAAATATATCCCTTTAATTTAAGTGTGCATACTTACAGTTGATAATTTGTCAATCCAGTCATCTGGTGCTCCAAGTGAAGCAAGGCCAATCTCCTAAAATACAATTGTCAAATAATTCAATGTGCTTAGAGTTTTCTCAATAAATCCGCGTAAACAATTGTTAAATAAACTGTACTGTATATTGCGGCCATTGGATAATGAAGATGAAAAAGGAATTATTACTGAAAGTATTTAGTATGTGATACTGACTGATATGGAGTGGGCGTACTAAATCCGTGAAACAAATGTTTTACACTACATAGTGTTGAGAGGAAAGCAGAAAAGTAAGGAATTATAGCTGTTTTGTGAGTGCCTTCCCAGGGGTCGCTTGATTCATAAATAATTTTTTAATTCACCTCATTTGATCCCAATCAAATGGCATAAGTGATCACTTTACCTGTGAAAACTCAGCAAACTCTGGATCAGCAAGTAAAGGCACATGGCCAACAAGCTCATGTACAACATCACTTCAGTAAAAGAAAAGAAAAGAAAAGAAGAGTTGAAAAATCACTATACGTTCTTTTACCTGGTTTAAACCTGGGAGAATCCTTCGTCTACTTACGGTTCTGGGGTGTAAAGAGGTTTCGACCCATGTCGTATATACTGCGTGCTATGAAACACACGGAATGCCAATCCCGCAAGAAAATCTCTGTTAGACAGAAGACCTGCTACAGGACGTAGTGTAAAACCTGAACGCTCTATGAAAAGAGCAGTAAGAAAAGTGAATGGCGTTGTCATAGCACTAAGGAAAACAACCGCCCTGGAGAGTACATTACAAATTTGAATTTAAAGAAAAGAATCGTAGAAGAAGAATCAGATGATGTTAAGAGAAAAAAGAAAGAAAAATAATGATAAAGAGGAGAGAATTAATCAAAATCGACAAAAAAAAAACAATAACAACAACAACAACAACAACAACAAAATCGCAAAGACAGGAAGACAAAAAGTGATGATAGCTAGAATGATAGCGAGATGTAAGCATGAGAAAAAGAGGAAAGAAAAGTAAAGCAAGGAACGAAAATGAAAGAAAGAAGTAGGAAAAAATAACTAAAAGAAAAAAATAGACACGAACGACACGATGAAGAAAAAGGCGAAGATTGCAGAAGAATGAGAAAGCGCTAGAAAGTAATGGTAAAAAGTCGAACAATACCAATTTAATAGCAACCTCTAAAATAGAAAAAAAAGGCCAAAAAAAGAAAGATGATGAAGAAGAAAAATGAGATACAATAATAATAATAATTCTTTATTCCATAAATATCAAAAAAGGTACATTAGAACATAAAATTTAACTTTAACAAACAAGGTATACTAGCTGACTAAGTAATTGTACAGATTTAGAACATTAAAACAATACTTAGCAGTTATTTTTACAATACTGTCATCTTTCATTGACAATATGTATAAGAATAAGCAATCAAAACCTGTGAAAATTTTGAAACAGTTATTTATGTTATAAAGGCTTTCCAAGAAAGCTTTTCTTATAATAACCATTTCGTTGTTATTGCATGACATTAAGTGATGAAATTCGTTACCAAACGCGTTTAGTCACAAAGGTGACAAAAACGCTGTTCGTAAGGAATTCCATTATATCTACCTGACTCAACAGGTAGTTTGTGAGCAGAAATCTTTAATTTTGTTACTGCTTTTCTATGGTTAACATTTGTAACCTTTTGTAAATAATTCTCAAAACTTACATCATGTTTGACTTGTTTGAAGAAAAATAATTTCCCATGACCTGTTGAGCTATTATTTACCTTATTTGACCAAAATTCAGAAAAGCATTTGTGAGTATTTTCTTTTAAGATTGAAAGAAACTCTTTCATTTTTTCATTACATATATGAAGATCATGGATAG